CCCCGTAGCCCCACGTGCTGTCCACGCACCCTCTTCATACTGTTGGTCAGAAAAGAACAGGGAGCATAGGGGAGGGCAGGGGAGTGGAGGGAAGGGAAAAGAGGGATGGGAGGGGTGGGAGCGCTACCATCAATAAAATTGCCAAATACAATGAAGGAGCAGCAGAGCCTGCAACCTCCATTCCCCAACATCCTCCAACCACCCCACTGCTCCGTGGGAAATAGATAGAAGAATCAAGACTGAGGTTTAGCCTGGGATGGAGGTAGTGTGGCGAGGTGGTTTCTGGTTGGTTGGTTGGTTGGTTGGTTGGTTTTAAAGTTTTTAAATTCTCACTGTCCTACTTTGTGATCAGTTGGCAATAAATTCAATTACTCTTCCCCAAGCCAAGTCTGTTTTGTCCATGAAGCCATCTTCCAGTCCTGAAATAAGAAAGGAAACAGACCTGCAAGCACCTGTTACACAAGTGCAGGAAGAGTGACAAAGGAGGGTTTTGAGGCATGAAGTTACTGCAAGGATGCTCTGCTCTTTCCTCACTTCAGTATGAAAAGCATGGCACTAGTGGGTGGTCCTTGGTGGTAGTTGTTTTTTTGTTTTGTTTGGTTGTTTGTTTTTTGTTTTGTCAGCTCCACCCCCCAGTATTTTGCTTGTTCTACTTGTTTTGGTGTGCCCCCATTCCCTCCCTCAAGGTAAACATTCCTAGGGGCCATAACTTGCTGTTAGCAAACAAGATCTTGCAAAAGAGTGAAGTTAACATGGCACCACCTGCACTGGTGTATAAATAGCTCAAATATTTTCCCTCACTTTCCTGTAACTTTCCTGTAAATTGCTGGTCAGGAGATAACAAGTGGAGAAATTTCGGACAAGAGAGAGAAAGTTGTGTTTACTATTGCCCTGGAGTTTCTGTTGGTCTGGCCACAGAAATGGAGTACTCAAAATCCTCAGGACACTCAGTTTATACCAGATTTATCCTAAAACTGCAGGATTTCTAGGCCCTTGGGATTCTTATCAATTAAAAAATACTTTTTCACGCACAGAAGATGCCAAAAAAGGCGTCTCCTGCAGTATGCAGCACAGAGCCAGTCCTGTCTCTTGATTCCTTCTGCCTTCTGCCTGAAGAGCAGCAGACCATCGAGTTCTCGTCTTCAGTAGCTACGGCCTTAACCAACTGTGCAGTCCTGTCCATTCATCCACAGAGGAGGAAAAATAGCATGGAATAACTCCTCTCCTTTGTGCTAACAGAGGAGGGTACAGCTTCCTCACTCCAACCCCACCGAGGCAAACCAGTCAGCAGTGCACGCCAGAGCCTCTGTCTCTCCCCGTCTCCTGATGTGCAGCTGGATCACTCTCCCTTCTAGCCCCAGGATCGCTTTCAGCACACTCACAGAAGGGTCAGACTCACAGCTTGAGGACCCATCAGAAGAGGCTTTCACTCTTCTGCCACCACACCCCCTATACACATGCAATTTCACACATGCAAAGAGGGCACCATGGATTAGGGAGTTGCACAGAGAGGAGACCACACCCGTTTGCCTGCCTGCCTGCAGGTTGACACCAGTAGGGAGGTAATTCACCTCAGGAGTTTCCAGAGAGATGACAGAATATGGCCCTAGGCTCCTGCTGCTTCTTCAGCCCTGACTCTTCAAATCCATAGGAACGCAAGAAACCTTCCCAGCCAAGTGCTGCATATCTTGAAGGTTGGAGAAGCCACAGCCTTCTGCTTCATTTCATTTTAAAGATCAAGCCCAAGGTCACTCCCATAGAAGTAGTGGAAGCCATCTGGCTGGCTTGGCTTTCTCTCCAAAGAAGACCAAATGAGAGTTGGTCCCAGGTGAGGATGAGCCCTGACAGTTCCTGCATTTTGGTTCTCCTGCAGCCCACAAAGCTCTCACTGCCTTGCCTGAATTTTAACCCCTTTGGAACCAAATCTACAGATGATCTCTGTCAATCCAAAACAGCGCTTATTCACCATGTGAACAACAAATGCCTGGCATGGTTAACAGCACTTAGGTGCAGAGGTCAGATAGATGTAGCTGCATGTTACACATTTTTAGTCTGAATAGCACAATTTATCCTTTGACTCCATTTTGCTGTTATGTGCATATCAATTTGCAATCATTTGGTCTGTCCTCCCTTTCCTCCCTATGATACTCTTAAATATCACAAGATAAATACTACACAGTCTAACTGTCCTGTGAAATGAGCAAACATTCACAATTGCATGGTACTACTGGAAAAAAAAAAAAAAAAAAAAAAAAAATGGATCCCAAACTCATTTTGAGCTTATATTTTTTCAACTCACACACTTTGCTACTTTTGCTAAATGGTAGCAATAGCAACACACAGACTGAAGTCCAATGTAATGAACTTCTAGCAGTGGCACCTTACATATAACAGGAATGTGATCCCAGAACGGAGCAAGTCCTTACAGTGGAAGGCCAACTTGTCACACAGGTAAAATTTAGAATTTTAAATTTCAATTTTTTAAAAAATTTAAATTTTAAAAAAATTAATTTTTAAAATTTAGAATTTTACCTGTGTGACAAAGTACACAGAGCTTTTATCAGCTTTGATATAAGGTCAGTATAGGAGAGGGAGAATAACAAGATGTCACAGTAACACATTTTCCTATAACGAAAGCAGAGATATGTAAAATTAAAGGTGGCCAAGGAAGACTGAAGAGGGACCATGAAGCTTCACAGGGATGGATGTAAAAGCAGTTCCTCTCTTTCTCTCTTTTGCCTCATTTCCCATCGGCACAGTTAATTGCTATCCAGTAACTCCCCTTCCCCAAGCTGTTACCTACCCCCATCCTCACCACATCTTCCTTTTTCCTCCTTGCCCTTCAGCAATCTATCTGCTTCTTGGGGCAATGAAGGAAGCAGGCAGGGCTGAGGCCAAGCCCTGTTTCTAAGGAAAAAGGCCAGGGAGAGAAAGGTTTGGGACTAAAGAATGGAGTGGGAGGAGAGCCTTTCTCCTCCTCCTACTGCCTGGAGGGACCATCTGTCACGCAATAAAGGCCTGTATTGCTCAACTACAGAGGCCAAGCTGCATCTCAGCTGCATCTGCAGAAGATGGATGGGGGTTGATGAATGCCGTTCCTCCAGCCACAGAGAGCAACTACTTTGCCTCTCCTTGAATGCACTCTGCTAATTTTCATAACCAGATGTTGCCTCTGTAATGCAGAGTCCAAGTTAAACAGGCTTTGTCTGCGTTCCCAGACAAGGAATTAGCAACCTCGAAAGGAAGGGATATTAAGAAAGCATTTGAAAATAAAGTCATAGTTCTGGTAAGTAAAGCTAAATCAAGTTCAAGGGGACACTAGTTTTAAACCACACATTGGGTGTTACGCTTTCGGCTTGAAAGACATAAAAGACTCAAAATGTAGCAGTCCAAAATATAATGGAGTCACAGAAGTCTGCATATAGCGGAATTCCAACTGCAAAAAGCTCAGAAATGCTGTGGTAAAGAAGAGTATGTGATCATCAGAATATTTCAAAAGAAACTCCTCAGTGCTCCTTCCAATGCCCTGGAAGTCCATACTTTTGCAGGACAATAGACAAAGAAATGCATCTCTCACAGAGGCTTGAGGAGCAAAATCAAAATGTTGCATCTCATTTTGTCTGAAAGCAGAAGGAAATATGAGATCATCTTGTCTTACTTGGTGTGTATCACATCATTGATTTCTACTTGGTCACTACTACGCAGAGCTTGCTAACTTGAATCATGTAAACGTACATCAGGTCTCAAGGGACTGAGCTACTTTGTGCAACAGGGAGAGAATGTGAGAGATGAAAAGGGGGGATATTGCAATGACAAAGGCAAATGCTAACAAATTACAATCCAGCTTCCCAAGGTGCCTGTCTTTCTGAGGGGCAAATTCTATTCCCAGACTCCTTTTGGGGGTTACTGTGTTCCAGGACAAAGGCTTGCTGCCTTCATATATGCATTTAATCGAGTGTTGCACATCAGTCCCAATAGTAGCCTAAAAAGTGAAAATACAAAGCAGGTGCCAAGCAGATCAGGGAACAGCAAAGATTGCCAGTACATTTCCACAAGTGAGTATTTGGGAAATTTCCCTCCTGAAAACTGACTGCCACCAGGCAAGAGCATTTGCAATCAAGTTGAATGAAAAATAGCAAATGTTTAAATGGATTTCTTAAAAGAGAACCCTTTCTCTATATCCTGCTCTTGCACATCATTGCAAGACTCCTGTTCAGGATGAACTCTTGTATTTGAGGATGCATTGACTTGGTATTTGTATTCTTCATCCCACAGCATGCACACCTTGCACTATAGCACTGCATCCTGGGCAACTCTCAGCAACACCAAGGAGGAACTGGCTTTCTGATTCAGCAATTGTGCAGCTGACGTACAGTTACACCCTTTGAGAAACTTCTTCAGAAAAGAGGCAAGTTTCAGCTAAAGTGCATACAATCCATATGTACGTCATTACTCACAATGCAGTATCATGCATCGCAATTGAGAAATTCAGTCTGCTCCTCATATTTTTGATGTTAACTACTACCTGGGTTACATTAAAAATGCTCACCATCTGAATCATTCAAAGGAATACTACACCATTGTAGATATGGAAACAGTGTATTTGTTCATAATCTGATAAACTTATCTCTTTTCAGATACAGAGACCGGTCCTTCCTCAGTAGTGTTGCGCTAGTTAACCAAACTGAATTTCTCAGGAAAAAACACTGCCTTTATTTATAGCAGTGTCTAAGCCAAAGCACACAGAAGTAATAGAGCACTTTGATGAATTGTGCCAGCGCTTAATTCATGTGCCAAATCTCACCACACCTTTGCTTTCTTCAGGTGTGGAGCAAATTGCCTCAGTAATACCTACACAGGAACATCGCCACACCTCTAGCAACTCATAAGGTCTAAATACTGTTAGAATATGTCAGCAAAGATTGCTTGGCAAGGGAAGGCTTGAAAACTTACGTGTCGTATGTACATAACAGATAGCTATCTACCCTATTTTAAAATAAAGACACGTGTTCCCAACCAAAGCTTTATAGGGAAAACAGATACTCTTATAAACTTTAAAAAAACTATCAGGATGATACAAATTTATCCCACATAAAAATCTTCTAGAACATAAAGCAAAACCTGTGACAATCATTCTAGGTGAAACATAGAGGTATTGTTATATTTTAGTTTACAAGGTTAGGAAAAGCTCGTGCTGCACCCTCAATTAAATTATGATAGAGGGGCCTCCTTAGCACAGGGGAGTCTCAGCACCCCATCATCCAGCACCCTTGCCATCTCCTCGGTGTCTGCACCCCTGTCCTCGTTACAGTTTTGTCCCTGCCAATAAGACAGCTGTTACGAAAATAAATGTCAAACTTCACACAGAGGTTAAAGACATGTTACATCAGACCTCCAATGGGATTCCAATGTTCTCAGATTTCAGAACTCTTCTTTTCCCTGTGCCTCTCACCTCCTGAAATCCTTAGAAAGGTTTGGGGACATTTAAAACTCTTTCATGTGTAAAACCTACTGGCCTGCTCTGGCTGAGCCAGAAATGTGGGTAGACTGCTCTGCTGGATGAACCTGAAATTATTCCCTCCCAAGTAAATAAACAGTGCTTTTGCTGGTAAAAAATAAATAAATAAATAAATAAATATTAGATATCAGAGAAATTGTTTTCCTTCCAACATCAATTTTTCTTTTGAAATATAGAACACCTAAGGTCTGATTTAAATCAGGTTTTTAAGAACTATGAAGAACCGGTAGCTAAAATAACTTCCTGATTAACACAAAAACCAGCCATGGCAAGTTGTATCCTAAAATTCCGTGAAAACAGAAGCTACCAAATCTTTTTCTCAAGACCCACAAGAGCCTTTAGAGCAGTTTATAAGTGTTCTACATAGACAGTAAGAATTTCACCTACTCCTGAGCCCAGGTGCCCATGAACAGAACAACACACTGTGTAAGGAAGAAGTCACATTGACTTGTGCTAAGTTACACTGAAACTGGAGGAAAACAAAATGCTTTTATGCAGCTGAGAACTGGCCAGGGCGCTGATGTCTTGCCCGAGTGGAAACATGAATGACCACAGTGAATGAGCCTACTGGTTTATTTCCCACAGGAAGGATACTACCAGCACAAATATAAAACTTGGAGTGTGCTGGTGTGTTGACTTAACGTAGAGTGGGAGAGCTGCTGCTACTGAGTCAGCCGCAGCACCACCCACTGAGACGCGTGCCTTCTGGTGTCCCTCATTCAGTCCAATCCAGCATTTCTGCACATACAGGACACCTCAGCCGCCTCCTGCAACACAGCGAGCAGTGTTACAAGATAAATTCATCCCTGCTTTAAAACCAGAAAATCCTAGGAATTGCTCCAAGGGATGAAGTTGATCCACTGTATCTATAATTTGTTCAACAACGTAGCTAAATTTGCAAGGATGACTCAAATCATTTAGGCTTTGGAAATCACTTAAAGCCAATATAAACAAATTACAACTTTCCCAGGCGCAATGGAAGCAATTAATTCTGCAGTGAACACCTTTCCTGTTCTCTGGAAAACATAACAGATGCATCTAATTATAACCCACACTGAAACATGCTGTTTTTGTGTAGCTACAATTTCAAAACACCCGAGGGGCAGGAAAACACCATCCTAATAAAGTTATGTGGCTGCTCACGAGTAGGAAAACAACTTTAGCAAAGCTTTCAGTTCCCAAGGTACATTGAGAAGGTTCACCACTGGCAAGGTGCCCTTTGCAGCAAAAACATCTTATGCCCTACAACTAATTTTGCAAGAACTCCCACATCTCGTTCCTTAGCACAGGAGTCTCTGTGCCAGCTACCTTCCTATAACATAAGCCTATGTTAAATACTGATGGACAGTAGGGCAGAATAAAAGTCTCAGAAGGAAGTTTATGCTTAGGGGATAGACCTTGGGACTGAGTCTTACTCAGTGTTGAGGAGGAAGCCCTGGAAATACAACCAGCTCCTATCTTTGTATTCAGGGTGATAATATCAACAGAACAGGGAGATAAAGAATAAAATAAAGGGCAAAGGTAGGATTACACAGAATTTTTCAGTCAGAGGTGAGAGTGGATATGGACAGGACATCAAAGACAGACAACAACACGACTGCGCAAAGAGTCAGGGAAGGAGATGTTCTAGTAGCCAGGACAAGAAGAAAAAGAGTATCTGACAGAATATAAATTTTCTGGAATTGCAAGTAAGGAATACATCTCTTAGGTGTTATATAGGTCAAACAGCAGCTTTCAGATTAGAGCAGGGAAACTGAGACAGGAGAAAAGAGAAGTCTAATCTAAAACCCACATCATGTTCTAGTGACATTGCCAGTGATAAGAAAACCAACAGTCTGATGCTTGTTTCTCAACCTTCAGTGTCTCACAGTGAAAATACTTCCCTGGTTGTACAATTTTATAATTCTCCAAGGTTAACAAAATTCATTTTGCTAAAATAAAAACCCACCAGAAGTGACAAATACTTTATCAGTAGGAAACGGACAGTAGAAAAACCTCACAAATATGATGTCATTGTCTGTTCCTCAGAATTTTTTTCTATTAGAGGAATCATAAAAGCAGGTCAGCTACTGATTATTTTTTTTATCCTCCAAATTGCAAAAGAAATGCTGTTTCAAGTAGTGATGGTTCAAGTTGCTACTAGCCTGTTGCCACAAAAATGTTTATAGAAGTATTTCTGCAGTTGGTTTTGTAAGGTCTTTCTGTGGTATCATTCTCACCATCACTTCACATCCTACTCTGAGATGATTCAGTCCTTCCATAGGGATGTGGCCTTCAGGGCAAAATAAATTGCATAGTTATGAGTCATAAGAACCTTTGCAGAACTGGCCAGGCAGAGTATAAATTCAGCCTACCCTTCGTGTGAACCGCAGAAACGTTGGAGACACCCAGAGCAGCAGTCTTTCTCCCTGCACAAAACAAGGTAACTGTCATTATTTCTAGAGATTATTTATTTCATGTGCTCTTGGATGATGTTAATTTGTTGACAAATGCGTAGAGAAAAGGCAACAGGGATCTGAATGGGAAACAACAAATGCTTGGGAAAATATTTTACTAAGATGGTACAGGTATGGTCTAGAAGGGGCAAAGTCTTAGAAATATTCAGGAAGAGCAATTTATTTTACATAGTTATGTAATTTCTAGAGCTTACTGGCTAGCATATATGTCATAGCAAAGTGAGAACTACTGTGTTTGCTTAAATTGGCTAATTTATACCTGTGCTCTTCAGTTCTCATGTACATGAGGACAGCTCCTGGTTTGCAAACTGCTGAGGTCAAGAACAATTTATTCTGTGGCCATCCTATACCAACCAGAATAGCTCCTAGTCCATGCCTAGGGCTTTCAGCTACGACCACAATGCAGACCGTAAATAGCAGCACATGTGGTCTACTGATTAAGGAAACCTTGTCATGCTGAAGATTGAGAAGTTAGGACCTGGTCTAGCACCATAAGACAGAGTTTCAGGAAATTACTGAAAGTCAAAAGGGAATTTAGGATTCTTACCATGCAGAAGTTGGGGTGGTGCAACAGTGTAACCATGCCGATCCAATGAGTTTTCATTTGTTCCTCCTGATTGTCTTTTGCGTGGATATCTGTCTCTCCACGTGAACTTCTGCTGAATGAAGAAGTGTTCATACACTATGAATAGCAAAGTTGGCAGAAACGAATACTGTAGCAGTACTGACAGGCCAGCACACTTTCACTCAGTTCCCTGAGGTCATAGGAGAGATGAAGAAAATACCTGGCACAGTCTAGATTTTGCCTTTGGTCTAATTAGCATACACTACCAGTGAATCTCAGTCATGCAGGGGATCACTGTGCTGCACTAGCAATCTTATAAAGGACACAAATTTTGAAAATACTTTTAGAAAGCTTTCAAATCACCAAAAAATAAAAATAAATATAAATATATATATAAAAAAAAAGGTGAAAAGAAATCTGTAGATACATAGCAGTCACAACTAATGCTTACCTAATAGCATCTTTTCTCCCTTTCTGTGCAGGTTCAGAATAATGGAAGCTTTAAATAAAGCAAACACAAACTTTGCTCTTGACTTTTTCAAGCATCAGTGTCAAGAAGATGGCAACAAGAATATTTTGTTTGCCCCTTTGAGTATTTCATCTGTCCTGGCTACCGTGTATTTGGGAGCAAAAGGTAACACTGCAGATCAGATGGCAAAGGTGAGTCTGGGCCCCGAAAGGTCTGAGAGGGTTGATCTCTTGGAATAGCATCCTCTATTGTGCAGGTCAAAAGATAGAGCCTACTGTAGCTTCCTCAAACAGAGGCCCCCAACAAATGGGAGCTGGTGAGTTTGCAACTGCTAAGGCAAAAGAAGTTGTCCCACCTGCTAAGGCAGCAGCTAACTACTAAGCTACAGGACAAAAGAGGGGCAGCGTGGTCTCAAAGAAAGGAGAGATCTCCTGTTAGGAAGCAGGGAAAACAGAACAAAACAAAAAGCCATGTGTCTTCTGAGAAGTGCTCCAAGTTTAGATGTACCCCTTTGCAGCCAGAGTAAGGTCCATGTGCCCAGAGCAAGGTACTCAGGGCATGAATATGCCCCCAGCGTTTTCTTGCTTTCTGATATGTAGCAGCTCTCCATTTAGACTTTTGCTTTTCCCTATCTGGAGGTAACTGCCTCTTCCCAGTCATTGTCTTGTCAGCCCAGGGGCTAACTCAAAGCAGGCAAATTCCTCTAGAAATGCCAGGCACATTAGAGTTTTGCCCTGCAACCCTCAGCTTAGTGAGTTCAAGCCATTTTGAAAGCATGGGCCTCAAGCCTAACCAAATTCCATATTCAGTCAGGACCGGATGCAAGGGTAAAATCTGAATTTGGCTCTTTTCATCACCAGTCCTATGACATCACTGAAATATTTTACTGAAACAACAGATTTTCTGTTGTTGCATTTATTATTGTGATTTCCACTATAGGTACTTCACTTTAATGAAGTTGAAGGAGCCAGAAATGTCACCACAACCATAAGAATGCAAGTCTTTTCCAGAACAGAAGAATATCTATCAAATCGACGTGCCTGTTTCCAGAAGGTATCTCACCAAATCTAGCTATCATGCTATGGGCATTGTAATATTTTGTTTTCCTTCCATGTTTGCATTTGCATGTGTTTGCCTTCCTCAAATGCAGAGCACACAATTAATTGGTACAGCATCCTATGGTACCTTCACCTAATGCAATACTTACGACATACTTCCCATTTTTAGGTAGAATTGCAAAATCTAACCTCAAATTTGCAAAATTTAAAATCTAACATGACTGTTCCCTGTCAATAGATCTCTTGATCTTTTTGAAAAGGCATGGTCCCTGTCTGAGAGAACAAATCACAATAACAGAGCTAGTCTCCCACACGTTTGATTGCAGCATCAACATAACCAAAAAATAAAATAAAATAAAATAAATAGAAATATTTTTTACAGGCTACCTATGCTTGATACACTTCAGAAATTAGTCTCCATTTCATCCAATAAGTTAGCAAAATAAATTGGCATATTGGAATTTCCCAAGGTAGACCAATAGTTGCTTGCCATAAATCTTAGAGAAATGGAAACTGACATATTCCTGAGACATTTCTTTGACAGAACAGCAGGCATCTTTTATCAAATTAACTGTAATTTAAGAAAATGGAAAAATCTGGAAATCAAGCATAATTCCTCTGAGTCAGTAAAAGCAGTTTTTCCTCACTGACAAATCAGCCATGGTGGTCTAAAGTTCTCCCTGCTATTTCCCGTCATACTTATTCTTCATGGAGTAAGCCATTTCCCTGAAGTCTGCCCACAAAACCCTAGTGGCAGTGAGTTTTGATGAATGGGAACTTGAATCTGCATCCCACACTCAAATCCCACAGTGGGAAGTCTTATTCTGGGGCCTACATAAACAACCCACTTATTCTACATGTACAGGAGAGGGAGGGATTGTTCCTCATGATTAATGCTCATCCAAACTGTAAAAATTAGGGAGCACTGGAGGCAGGGCAAAGGGACCATTCTAACAGCTTAGAAATTTAAATGTCTGTTCATGCCTCTTACTCTGATGTAATGACAAGATGAATACAGTACAGACACAGAGGTTTAGTTTACTATTTCACAGCTTGATTTCCTTGAGGTGGTTTGAGAGTTTGAGTCCACATTCATTTAATCCTGTTATTTCCATATAAACAATTTACCACAATTGCTACAACATAAAGAACTTACAAAATATTAACATTTAGAGCAAGGCTAAGAAAGGTAGGGGCAAACTTCCCATGCAACTTGACTTTCATAAATCTTATCAGGAGTCACACAGCCAAATCTGCATGCATAGCTTAGCAATTACATTCTGTCTCTCACTCTCTGCGTATACTTAGTTTTGCAACCTCCATTTAGAAACCCTTTAATGTTTTACATAGTTCAGGCTCTTACCACTTGCATTCCAAGGCTCTTACAGAGCCTATAGCATACCTGAAACTTTTAGTAATTTCAAATGATTCTTTTCATAGCTGTCCAATTTAGTACAACTTTTGCATTGCAGTACAGGCAATACTTTATACCAAGCTGCATGAGGAGAGAAATTAGAAATCTGAACAGCTTTACAGAACAAATGAATAACATTTTTTTTTCCTTCTCTCGAAGACAGAAATTGGCAAATCAGGCAATATCCACACTGGGTTTAAAGCACTCAACTTGGAAATCAACAAACCCAATAAAAATTACATGCTTAAAAGTGTCAATCAGTTATATGGAGAAAAATCACTGCCTTTCAGTAAGGTATGTACGCCATTTATTCATAATATAAAGTGCTAATCAATGTTTATGTTCTATCTATGACAACAAACCATAAAGGATATAATTTTAAATATTTTCATTACATCTGCCAATTGTATTATTATCGGTAACATACATACTTCCTGTGAGACTCTTCCTGAGAATTCAGACACTATAATTTTACTTTTATGGGATGTGTATCTAATTTCAATATGATTCACAGATGTGGTTAGGTGAAAACATTGAAATTGCATTTTTCCACTAAAAAGAATAATTTGTTCTTTTGACAAAGTGCTGTTGCTTGTAGCCCATGTCATTTTTAAGGTGTTTTCACTTGGCTAGTTATTTATTGGTATTCACATTGGCAGGCAACAAACAGATGTCTCTCTTGCAATGCAGGAATACTTACAGTTAGCCAAGAAATACTACAATGCAGAGCCACAAGCAGTTGACTTCATGGGAGCAGCAAATGAAATCAGAAGAGAGATCAACTCCAGGGTTGAAGAGCAGACTGAAGGTAAGCTCCAGCCTCTTCTCTCCTAGTCCTAAAGGAGGCAATTTCACTATTGAACAATGTCCTCTGTACCCCAGGGGCCCAAGGCAGATAAACAACTCGTCTCAGAAATGTAAATCAATCACTACTTTTCCTAAAGTAGTCATCTGCTGGAAAGCCCTTACTAAAATTCTTCCTCTATCTGAAAGGGAGAGGAACGAGGCTTACTCTTCTTTATAAATCAAGGTTAGCGTGTATTTACAAATAATCTCAAGTTAAAAGCATGCCATATCAGCAATTATAATTTCCCTGGCTTACATCTACAGAAACTGTTCCAACATTTACTCTGAAACAGTAAAGCTGCATAAATATGTAAATGTCCTTTGGTTTTCTCTAGGTAAAATTCAAAATCTGTTGCCTCCTGGATCCATAGATTCACTCACCAGGCTAGTCCTGGTAAATGCACTCTACTTCAAAGGAACTTGGGCAACAAAGTTTGAAGCTGAAGCTACCAGGCAAAGGCCTTTCAGAATAAACACGGTATGTGAATATAATAATTTATATATTAGACTGCATGTGGAAAAAACAGTGAAAAAGATGGAGGAAAGAATTTCCTGGTAATTCTTTAAATCCACAGAGCATTAAAATTAATTAATTTAAATCATATGGTATAATTTCTTTACTACATCTTCAGTACAAAGACTGCACACACATACTAGCACCAGAAGCACACGTATAATTGTCAGAAGCTTGACCTGTAACAAACTTCCATTTTCCTCTTAAGGCAGGAAAAACAAGGTGAACAAAACCATACAGACTAGTTCTATACATTTTCATTTTTAACTATACAATAAATCAGAGTGAACACAACTTCCTATAAATATGTGTCATCCTAGACAGCTCAGGTAGCCTGCTTAGCCTCCAAGCACCTTCCCAGAAGACCAGGGGCTGTCTGTAGATCCTGTGTCCCACCTCCAAGAGCTACAAGGATGTACCTTCACTGTGCTATTTCAACTTAGTGCTTTACTGTTCAGAGTACAAATTTCAAACATTTCATTTGATTTGTTGCAGCATACAACTAAACCAGTGCCAATGATGTTCCTGAGTGGTAAATTTAATTTTACCTACATAGAATCAGTCCAGACTGATGTTGTTGAGCTTCCATACAGTCAATAATGACCTCAGCATGTTTATCCTCCTACCGCGTGACATCGCCGGCCTACAAAAGGTAAGGGGCAGAGAACTCAAATAATGTGAGAAACAAGAATGCCATTATTTACTTATTTTATGCACATCCGAGGTAAAAGATTGATCAGACTCAAGGAAAAGCAAACCCCAAACTTGGCCCAACACTGTGAAATTGGACCTCTTGAAGATCTTTTTAGCTCTTGGCATGTGGCATTTCTGTGATTCCTAATGTTGCTCATGGCCTCTGGAAAGAGGCAGCCCAAACCCAACAAGACTGGCTCTAATTCCAGATGAAGAGCAATGAGGACAGAAAGCCAGTCGGGCTGAGATTCACTGTCTGTACCAATTCAGACCTGTGATTTCATTCAAAAAGAAAAGCCCAAACTGAACAGCCTCCATTACTTTTCAGTATGTCCAGAGCTAACATATCTATATACTGCCACCTTCTGTAAAGACACTGATCCTGCCTCCAGATAGTAAACTCATTAAATTCTCATTTATGTTAGTGGGTGTTCATAGAGTGGAAAAAAAAAATGTTTTCAGTAAATTCTAAGGTATACAAAAGACAGAAATGTGAGCTGTGTGAAATGTGAGCAGACTATTGTTAACACTGTTGTTGTTTACAAACATTTAACCCTGCTATATCCCCTGACGATTACTGAGAACTGTTCAAATATTGCATTGACCTACTATAGAGCAATATACTCCCTTCTAGTAGAAAAGATCTCACAGTTGGCATTTCACTGCTGTTTTTTATATTCTTGTAACAGCTTGAAAAGCTCTCAATTTAAGAAAAAAAAAGAAGAAATAAGCTTTAGGGCCCAGGTTTTTGAACACTCTAATTTTCTGATTCTCTTCTTAACTAACTGCAGCTAATAAGAGAATTGACTTTTGAAAACTTGTCTGCGTGGACCAGCCCGGAATTAATGGAGAAAATGAAAGTGGAGCTGTATCTGCCCAGGTTCACTGTAGAAGAGAAATATAACCTCAAATCTGCTTTGAGCAAGATGGGGATACAAGATGCCTTCACTGAAGGTCAAGCTGATTTCACAGGAATGTCAGAGAAAGATAATCTGGTTTTGTCACAAGTTTTTCACAAGTGTTATGTGGAAGTCAATGAAGAAGGTACAGAGGCAGCAGCTGCCAGTTCAGCAGCTCTGACGTCACGAAGCCTTGGTGCTGCTATTATTTTTGTAGCAGATCACCCTTTCCTTTTTTTTATCAGACACAACAGCACCAAGTGCATCCTCTTCTTGGGAAGGTTCTGCTCCCCCTAAAAGACTGACTGTTACTAAACCAGCCCCTGCAACAACAATAACAAACACAATCCACAGCAGGAAGAACTTCTCAACAGCCTGTGCACTTTACCATTTTCCTGTACTGTTGACAATCTCTGTTAGAAGAGAGCACATATTAAAAATAACTTAATGTCAAGCCTCTGGCTCACTTTCCTGGACAAAGAACCCGAAAATTGTAGAACGGTACCCTAAGCACCAAAATGTGGCAGAACAACATTGATGCGTCTTTTCAGTGCTTTCCAAACCAGAATTGTCACTATGCACAACAGACCAGGTTGATCTAAAAGAGTACTTCCCAACACACTTGCTTTGGCACATAAGAAGGAAAGAAACAGGAAAAACTCCTTCATGCAGAAAGATCTCTGTTAAGCTGGTTGTCCCGGGAGGGTCACCTCAACCACAGCCCTTCTCCTCCTCAGTTTTGTAAGAACTTCACAGCCTAGCACAGCTGGTAATGAAATAAAACTGCAAATTCCTCTGTGTTCCTGATACTGGTGATTTGTTCTTGTGTGCAAAGGGGCTAACACATGGACTTTCTAATCTCTGCCCTACATCAATTGGCAAATACTGAAACAACAACACAGAACTGGAGGAAAATAAAACATGTGCCTTGAAAACCTCTCCTTTGTCTTAACCTTTCCTTCACTCAGCGGTTGCCAGCCCAGCACTGCACTGCTTTACTTTCTTTTCCCTTTGGCACTTATTTCACTGTTTGCAGGCACGATCAAACTGGAGAATTCAGTCTGTAATGCTAACTCTCTAAGCACCTTCTGGAAGATTACATGCAAATCCCCCTCTAGGTGTTCACTGTTGTCATAGCTCTTTCTCCTAAAAAGGAGAGCATCCTAATCAGTCTTGCACATCTGTAGAGGATGCTCCTAGCTCTCTGTATTTAGAACAGAGAGGGAAGGACTGGGTCTTGTTACAGCACATGCACATACCAACAGCATCTCACTAGAAATATCCCTTCTTGGGAAAGCAGGACCCCATTTTCCTTGCAGAGATGAGACTGCTGGCTGTCAGTGAGTCCTTTCTGCTTTCTTCTGGCTCTGCTTCCCATATGGGAAGGAGCACAGGGACAGTGTTGTAAAGCAAGTGCTTTATTCCATCCCCATCCAGCCTCACAAGTGCTGCATTCTGTCTCAGCTGTGAAACATGTCACAGGATCTCTGTGTGTCATTTCCAACATGTTGTGCTTTGCCCAATGGAATGGCTTCATGTCTCCATGGACAAGCCTCTCAAGCACTTCCTGGTGTTCCTCGGGAACATATAAAAGCCATATCTAAGAGGCCAAGGAGAAAACAAAACATTGACAACATGCATCCAAACTCAGGCACAGGCCTTTAAAGTCATTGGAAATATCAGTCACCTTTTCTATTTTAAGCACAGTTGCGAAGATAACAGAGTTAATGTCCTCTTGGCGGTGCTGGGATCCTTACCAAAGGCAAATGGCAACAAAACTTGGAGGGTGAGTTGCATGCTGAAGAACAACATTTTCCCCTGGTGAGCAGCACAGCACTGGAGCAGGTTGCCCAGGAAAGCTGGGGAAACTCCACCCTTGGAAGGACTGTGGCTGACCTTATCTACTGATGGGTCTGCTCTCAGTGGGAGTTGGCCTCTGGAAATCCCTGTCAACCAACCTGTGTGATTCTCTCTCCTTGTTCCTCTGCTGTCAACACCCCTTTTGCCTTCTCATCTCCATTTCTCATCCTCTCTGGCATTCTTGCATCTTGACTAGCAGAGGGAGCCAGCTTGCTTGCTGTCAGCATACTTCTTTGGAACTTGGAGTCTCTCCAGCAGTGGCCTTTCTCACCACCTAACCATTCAGTGAGCCTTTATCTTATCCTGATTTCTTGATGACTCTGCTCATCATACTAAAACCACCACTTGTTTAATTTCTGGCATTTCTTCATTGCCTTGCACAACACTGATTTCTGCTACTTTTCAGAAGGCTTGACCCATTCTGTTCCTGTAATCAGGCTTGCAGCAAAATGCTTAGCACACAGTACAGTTTCCTTCCCTTCCTGCATTCCCCTTCCCCTATCCCCCAGACTCTTACAGATGTTGCCACCACCTTCCTCTTCTCCCACCACCCAACACCAGCCCTGCTCTCTCCTGGGACAGCAGAGTGATGACCACTATGCCATGTTTGCCCCTCTTGTATTCTTCCACTCCATCTTTGCTCGAGTCCTGCCACTGGGGTTGTTTCAGTCCTTGTTCTTCAAGGACATGCAACTACGGTGCACCAGCTCAATGTTTTGCAGTTTCTCATAGGTGTTTCCCAGCCAAGAATGCAACAGGATTTCTTCACCAAGACAAGAAGCAGGGGTGCCCAGCCCTACCTCTTTCACGGCTTTGCCTCTGCCTGTGCTCCTTCTGATCTTGACTCTGAAGCTGGACTCTCAGAGTCTAATTCAGTCACTGATATCTTGCCATTTAATGCTGATGTACCTTGTTCAAAACCCAAGAGTAACAGCTGGGTAAAGCTGGAGAGGTGAATGAGGCCTACCATAACTTCTTACGTTCAGAAACTAAAATCATATATTCTGGTTCCATAACCCTTTTACTAGGTTCATTTATTTTAAAAATAGACAAGCTGTCTACACAACATCAGGAGACCATTGGAGTAGATGAACAGTTTTGCTATCCTATCAGTAGACTACTGCCGTGGAACAGCAAAACTGAGATTATAATCCACATTGTCCCTTTGAAATGCCTAAAACTAAAATGTGACAAGGTCAACAAGGAGGACAAAACTGCATGACATCTTTTGAGGGTTCAGTAGAGAGCAGCTTTGTGTAGGCGGGAACAGCCTGGATGTAGGGGAGAAGGAAAGGGAGGTGCAAGCCATACCATGTTTCTAAATTTATTCATTGCTTAACACACGGGCACAGAACCTGGCTGAGGACAAGACTTAAGTCTTCTCTCTCACGGGATCACAGGTAAATATTTAAACCAATTTAAGTAACTTTTCTGATGCTTTTAAAAGGTGGTCTGTACCTTGCATGGCTGTATAAGTAAATTGTAACATACCAGTGTTATACTGCAATCGTTGCTCTTGATATATGCTTTTCTAGGTGTCAAGTTTTAGAGAAAATTAACTTGTCTGGCTAAGGAAAACAGTTAGTTGAGGGCAGAATTAATCACAAGAAGGAAGATTTTCTCAGGGCAGTAACTGTCTTATTAATTAAAATCTTCAGTTTGATAAAGGATGTCCCATACTTCAGGTGAAGTAAAGGCCATTTTCATTCTGCAACAGCACAGCACTGTGCATTATCAGGCCAGAGACTCAGAGGAGTATACATTAGAGATGAGCAGAGAGATTTCTATCCTGATGCTTATTTGGCCAAGTTCTCAGAGGAAATCACTCTGTGGTACAGATTTGGTATAGATTTCACAGTGACTGCCAGAAGAGCTGTAGTGGTTTGGTAAGCAACCACTCCATAATTACCTGTAGACTTGAGATATTTCTGCAGTGCCATTCCATACGTATCAAGCTTTCTTTACATAATGATGACAACAATAACAACAACAACATTTTCTGGTCTCTTGATTGGAAAACATGAAGCAGGTACTACTGGGCAAATATCCCAAAGTCTGGAATACTTCTAGCTTCAAGGAATTCACCAATCTCTGGGGAAAATAAAATAGTCAGAACGTACAGAAGAGGTGTCAGTTAGACTTCATGAATAAAATACTGCAATCTAAAAGCAAATAACAACTTAGCCATACATGATACTAGTTGAAATGGGTAGCTAGACAGGGAAAGCCTATAAGCCTAAGAATTATGCATAAATTCATTCTCAGTATCAGCTTTTAATTCTATATAGATCAAAAATGAGGTAGCAGGAAGCTTCGATGTGTTATGACCCCATGCACTAAAACCACAGAGATATTTAGATTCCCCTGAGAACATTACTTTGATAAATAATTTAAGAATGAAATGAAACAAAAATATGCAGCTTAAAAATCTGTACCCTTTTGAAAACCAAAGGCAGAAAGAAACACAAAGAAAAATGCAGCTCTGTAAAAGAGGACATATCTATAATTATAGAGAAATATCAGCTGAATAACAAAAAACTAACAAATTTCTGCTCCTAACAGGTGGCAAACAGTATCTGCATGGAAGATAAAACATATTACTAGGCTATTAGTTTTAGTAGGTGCCCATGCATGGTGTTGCACATGTAACATTTCTCACTAACATGCATTGCATGCATCATTTTAAACATTCAAACAGTAAAATTCCTTCTGTTGCCTCTTTCCAGATTGTAGCAATGGAACAGGTCTCAGAAGCAGTTGGCAAGTTTACAGTTGATCTTTTCAAGAAGCTGAATGAGACCAACAACGACAAAAACATTTTCTTTTCCCCCTGGAGTATATCATCTGCTCTGGCCCTGACATACCTGGGTGCAAAAGGCAATACAGCGAGAGAGATAGGAGAGGTAGGTTGCTCTGTGAAGCTGTGGTGCCCAGCATTGCCCAGCACTCCTGTTAAGACTTGGGGAAATGCCCGGTGTTCCTCTTTGGGGAAAACCATTGGGCTTTACACAAATGCATTGCTACTGCTGAGTGCAACTGCTGTGGAAGGGAGTTCAGCTTTGTGGCAAGCCTGCATGAACGCTGATGTTCTGGGAGGGGAGCAGTGCTGTCCTTTGTTACTCTGTGGGATTTACACATGCTACAACTTCAGCATCCCTTTGATTAGTCACCCAAGCAGAATGAATTATCATAAGGAGTAAAACAAAACAACCATTTTATCTCCATTAGGCTTTAGGTCATGCAAGTCCCTTCATGCCTGTTTCTTACCTTTGGAAACTCTGTCTGCAGGTTCTTCATTTCACTAAAGCTGCGGGAGCTGCTGGGTCGTCTTCTGTGGCCAGACCTTCTCGGGGGAGACCAAAAAGAAGAAAAATGGTATCTATTAGAGAAAATAGATAAGATAAAGAATCTCCAGAATCAAAATGTCCAGATATAGCTTTAACAGTCCAGTATTTCTCACCTGTATCTCTCGTTATATTTAAAGTACAAAACCCAACATGCTTCACAACACGTTCAAGTTCAGCTCTCTTCACTCAGACTCAAAAGAAGCACAAGTCGCTGGGATATTTTGGAAGGTTTACTGTATGGTAAACCAGTCATTAACAGAGCCCTGCAAACTGCAGTGGTGGTAAATTTGGAGAGAGAAAATACAAGAGAGAGGAACACAAATCTCTCCCCACATGCATCACTTTGCAAGTTTTGAAAATTTCATTAAAAATGTAATTGTTAAATGTATGGTTTCTCTTTCCAAGGACCCTGAGCATGAGCAAGCTGAAAATATCCACTCTGGCTTCAAGGAGCTCCTGACTGCCATGAACAAACCCAGAAACACCTACTCACTGAGAAGTGCCAACCGTATCTATGTGGAAAAAACCTACCCATTGCTGCCTGTAAGTTGAACAGTTTTACCTCAGAAAGGGTTAAGAAAAGCTGAAAAAAAAAAAAAAGTTTTTCACTGTATTTACTTGTCATTAATGGAACAGGTTTGAAGCTGTCCCCCAGTACTTCACATAAAGAGCCCTGAGTTCCAGTGATAAGCTTCACTGGAAAATACCAGTTGGCCTTCTCCCAGTATATA